AATACCAATTAAAGCATAATATTATTTTTAAAACTGTTCTATCATTATTTTAAATTATTTTGTAATCTTCTATAAAATATTAACCACATTTCTTTGTATTGTATTTATATTTAATTTTATTTTATGACTGTTTATGTAAAATAAATTTCTTAATGTTTGTTTAAATTAATATTTTATTTTCTTTACCATATTTCTAAATATTTTTCGTTTCTGAAGCTCGTCGTCGACGTGTTGGGATTAGTGGAAACATATTTTTTTCCAATACGTAGATTTAAATTGATTCTTTGTATTTACTGTGTGCAATAACCATAATATCTTCTTTTAACTATAGATAGAGTGGCCCGACCTTTGGATCAAACCCAAGAACGCAAAAGTGAACGAAAACCGGCGTACCAGGGAAAAAGTAATGCTTTATTAATATATTTTCGAAGTATAAAAATTACGTATAACGTTTTTAATAATCTGTTAAGCAATTTAATTAAATTTCAAGTAAAATTTAACTAATTAGTAATATATTTGTTTTAGCAAACATGGACAATAAATGCATTACTAGAAACGGTGTATGTATAGCAACTGGTGGCGAATGTCCTCAAACAATGCAGATAGAAGGAACATCAGATTGTAAATCAGACGAAATATGCTGCATTTATAACCAATAATAATTTTCAAATATTTATCGTTGTTTAATTTCATACCCCTTTACAAACACAGACAAGAACACTTCTATTTTCAATTCATTTACATATTTCTGCACTTATGTACCTATACAATACAATTTTATAATTAATAAACAAATTAAATATACAATACATTCATTTAGCAAAAAAAATATATCAGGCAATGGAAATAAAAGATATTTTACCTATGGGTCTTCTCTATATTAGAAGGTATACTATAATATCCACTATGGTTGACTGTAAGAGAATGCCTTAAGGCATTAAGTCCGCCATTCACTGTATTTTGTGAAGAAGAAATAAATAAATAAATAAATAAATAAATAAATAAATATCCACGCTTGTCTTGCTTGCTTGTCCAAGTCCGATGCAGCCCAATTTGTGGTAAATTTGTAGTTCATTAGATCTTATAACAAGTTCAAGAGGGAAACATAAGGATGGTGACAGATGTGTCTATTTATTTTTTTATACTTCAAGCACACAGTATTCTCATTGGCTAATTTAATGCTACATTTTCTTCTAGTCTACCTTAAGGTACTACAGAACTCTTTACACAGCGGTCTTTTTTTTATTTATGGGATAAGCCGGTAAACGTACAGACGGACCACCTGATGGTAAGCAATCGGCGTCGCCCATGGACACCTGAAACATCAGAGGCATTATTACATTATGTATTTATAGTATTTTAAGTTGAAATTGTAGTAGATATTATAGTATTATTGTATTTTAATATGGGCCTTCGTTGCCTGATATAAATAAATAAATAAATTATAAGCACGTCACAGACAGTTTGGGGATTAGGAGTTTGAGGAATGTCGGGGATTGGGGAAATGGGGGGGGGATGGTAATCATCAGGCATCAGTAATCTCACCTCACTTACATGACGAAACACAATGCAAGCGGTGTTTCAGATGGTGGAATCACTCTGAGCGAGCCGGCTCATTCGTGACGAAGCATGGCTCTCCCACACTTAAAATATGAATTAATAAACTATCAAATGTTTCAACTATACTAGATAAAACCCAAAGCCTCGAGCAGCAAGCATTATTTGTAAACAATTAGCATGAACTTAAGGTTGAATGGTTCCATTGAGGAATTTACGTCTGACCAATTTCACCTTGGCCATTTTGGGAGTGCCCGATTACTAGACAACGTATGAGTAACTATGATACGTAACTAAATTCAAGGTCACTGCTCTATTTGAATACTAAAATAGCGTAATAAATGAATAAGAATAGTATTTTTATTAATCTTATCATATACTCTTGTATATACTACGTAATATTTTGTATACTTACAATTTTTTTTTATTATGTAAAGCTGTAGTGTTTGTTTGTTTGTTTGTTAGTTTGTAGGAACGTGCTACACTGAGGAACTGCTGGTCCGAATTAAAAAAAAAACATTTTATATTTAATATCCCATTAATCCAGGAAAGCTATAAAGCCTAAAAGTATAGGCTATAAAACATAATACAACGATCAATAAGCGCTTAGCAGAGCAGATGAAACCGCGCCGTAGTAGCTAGCTAGTTTATGAATAAACAGAAAATAATCATAGGGGTAGGCAGAGGTGCACATTACGGCAATATACAAGTAACACCCACTTTTCATTATTTATGTTATTGTATTTCTTTGTTCTACCCGTTGGGCATGCAAATATTGGGTATGTATCAACCATTGTACGTATCAATGACATTTACAATCAGTCAATATATTATGTAGGTACGAGTCAAAAATATCTTTTCACATTCATAAAGCAATCAAATAATTATACAGTCATAGAAATTATACATCAATAATCGACAAAAAAGAGGTCCCATGTAGGTGGTGAGCCTATTTCCATATACCAAGCACAGGCTCCGTGCTATTGCAGATAATTATTAAAAAAAGCCAGTATTACTTTGCCCGACCCGGGTATCGGACCCGAGACCCCTTGCCTCGGTAGTCGCAATTGTGACCACTCGGCTGACAAGGCATTCTGCTACTAGTACTAGTACTGGTCAACTCATTGATTTAAGAAGTAGTAAATTATCGTTACATAGCTTTAAACTGTCAAACACCACGAGGACACCGGTGACCGCAACCTATTGTTCTTTAATGGGATCTATAATGACGGTACTCAAAGATTTAATCGAATGCTAATAATTATGACTCAATCAATAAAATTGTGAATTAGTTATCGAATCTATGTTAAGTTCATGATCGACTGAGTCATCTTCTTGGAAATATCGTTGAGTAACAAACGAATTAACATAATATTCGGCTGTTTATGTGTCGCAGAAAAAAGTATATTAGGTCAATACTAGTGTAATTTGAGCATGTACTATGTACTGTATAATATACAGTGTATATTGCGATCTACAAGTTACACAATATATTACAATTATTTATTTATTTATGCACAACACACAGACAGTACACAGGACAACACATATATAAATAAAATGGAGGTATGTACGTACATTTATTGGTGAAGTTTATATTAAAACTTCCGTGAGACATACTTAATTAATTGTTATGTTTTCGGCTCACTCACGTAACTATTCAGCAGCAGTAACAGCGCGACAGTCACCGCGTCGTGGGTAGCGGAATGTGGCTCATAAATATGAGCTTCTAGCATGGTTTGAATCTAGTCGAGTTCCTCGTCAAAAAGTTACATGAGTCAGCCGAAAACATAATAAATAAATTTACCAGTGAAGTTATGGAAAATTGTACAATTCTACATTGACACTTAAATTATGAAGTTTTATAGAGATCTTTGCGTACACTCAAAGCTTAGTTTATAATGGTTTTTCATATCTTGATGAGCAGTTGGCTTCAATTAACGACAGCATAGTTGGCGCAGTGGTTGGACAACTGGCTGCCGCACAACGTGTCGCGGGTTCGATTCCCGCACGGAACAACTCTTTGTGTGATCCACAGATTGTTGTTCCGGACCTGGGTGTCATGTGTATTTGAACTTGTATGTTTGGAAACGCAACCCCATTCGGTGTTTTCATGGTTGTATCTACTGTAGATCCTGGCTTACAGAAGTTGCAGCAGTTTTGGGAGGCTGAGGCGGGTTTACCCAATTAAAAAAAAAACACAGGATGAAATTCTACTATGGGGCAAAGTTAAAAAAAAAAAAAACTATGTAGATGGTCTATGTAGTTGTGTCTGGCAACAGGACGGGTTTACTTGCCCACATATTACCATAAACTTACATAGTTATAACTGTCTTTGTTCAATTCACTTTCAACTGTATGCTATTGTAATACGTTCGACTTTTGAAATGATGGAAAAGTTGATATTCGACGACTGTTGCACATTACAAAGTCGATGTATGATCATTTTCTGCATACTATTTACTTAGGAAAACATAAAATATAGTGAAAGTAAACGACGAAGAAAGCCAATAGGCTTTCGCTTGTAGATATTAATACTCTGTGCAAGTCCACGGCGTATGAGTATATTTGTCAGCCAAGCAAATTTTTGTTTTGTTAAAATACCAATTTAAACTGTCAAACAATAGGTTGCGGTCACCGGTGACCGCAACCAATTGTTCTATAATTGTCGCGGAGAACCTAACGGGTAACCGGGGCTCCGGCTCGACGTGCAGGAGAAGGAACGGGGTGGTTTTTAGTCAGTAAGAGTCTGACACTCCCTCCCGCCTCACCCAGGCGGGAGCAGTCATTCGATGATTTTCCCCCCTTAAAAAAAATTGTTCTATAATTATATCTATAATGACGGTACTCGACGAGTTAATTCAAAATCAAAGGTAAACCAAAGTAGGTGTAATATTAAACTAAGGGCATAGGTACGTAAAATTTTGTTTTAAAAAGATCACATGAAGAATATTATTGTTAGTACCACTAAACAGACAGACAAAACTATTCGTAATAATATCAAATAATAATTGACGCAGGTAATAATAAAGATAGGAATATATATATTTTTAAACATACAATGATTTACCTAAGAATCAAGATAGGTATTATATTATAATGATAATTATATGCACGAGCTGCGCCTTTTCAAGTATTAAAAGATGTTTCAAGTCCACCTGAGACGTCATGTTGGTCTGATAACATAAAGGTACAGTTCTGTACATTAATACATCCTGTACTTTACACGTCTACAGAATTGCGCATACTGTATTTTACGCAGCAGTCAATGAACTTGAATTACGATATACAAAACAATACATATTGTATATATATGTATACTTGTGTATAATTTGTTGCAACATAATAATCATTTTACCGATGAATGAAAGAGTAGGTATTGTATATTTGTGCTCATATACAGGGTTGTTGCCAACAAGATATCATTCGCCTTAGATAGTTGAGAAAGAGTGGTCGTGTTCGAGAAAATGCATTTCAAAATTTTATTTTTCATTTTAATTTTAAATATTATTCGTTCATCACAGCTTTTGGATTCTGATAATAATTACGAATTGGTGCCAGTAATGTCTCCTATGGGTAAGTTTGATTTTTTTTTTCTCTTATTTAGTGTCTTGATAACAAAACGTTGGAAAGTTTTCATTTAATTCAAATTAATGAAATGTTACGGAAATGTTACAAAAGAATACATATTAAAAATACGGTATTTAATTTAACTTTATTAACCATTTTATTTAATCGTTCGTCTTATTTCGTCAGTCAACTTTTTGATGTTTACCTTTTTTTAATTTCGATTTGTTTTATAATTCGACGAATAAATTTTTAGTGTAAAACAAAATTTACGTGTATTGTGAATAATAAAATTAATGCCTTAATAATACTAGAATCCAAATACCTCCGCGAATAATAAAATAATTAATTAGGTAATAAATACTTATTTGGTTGTATAGCCAAAGTTAAAGAAGGCTTAATGCATGACAACTAATATATTACATTTAAAAAAATTTAATCAATCTTCTAACAATAAAAAAACTGCTATGTTATGTTTACATTATTATCAAGTGTTAATCGGTAAATAGTACTATCAGTTTAGTCATAAAAGTAGTTTAATACGTTAACAGCTTATCTTTTATTTGTAAACAGATGTTTTCAAACATTGCGCACTCTTTAGACTACTACTATACATATATAGGTCAGTCAAACAATACAGTTTCATCATATTAGAGCACTCATCATTATTACTAGAAACAATATGACATTAGTATACTATACTAGCTACTTCCGTGCGGTTTCACAAGCTCTGCTTGGCTCCTTTTGGTCGTAGCGTGATGTTTTATAGCTTATAGCTATCCTCGATAAATGCGCTATCCAACACAAAAATAATTATTTAACTCGTCGAGTACCGGTTTTGTAGACACAATTATAGAACAATAGGTTGCGGTCACCGGTGACCGCTTAGTGTTTGACAGTTTAAGACACCCGCTTTTTATGCACGAAGGCCCGTGTTCGTAACCTACCAACGGGAAGTACCAATGTGACATTTTTCCAAGTTATATGTACTTTCTAAGGTTATTTAGACACCACTGACGAACGGTGAAGGAAAACATCGTGAGGAAACCTTACAATTTTTAATTATAAGTTTGAAATAGCCAACCCGCATTGAGCAAGCGTAGTGATTAATGCTCAAACCTACTCCGTGTGAGAAGAGGCTTTGGTCAGCAGTGGCCACTACTTATAGGATGTTGATGAAAATCCTTAAAAATACAC